AGCCTTATTAAGTACATGGTGAAGAGAATATAAATAATTCTTGCTAGATTGCCACACTTGATGAGGAAAGAAGGAAATGGAATGGTGGGAGAGCAAATTATTTATATTGTCTTCCTTTTGTTGTGATTCTATGAAGAACAAATCCTGCACATGATCTAGACCATTCTCTCAAGAGCTAGTCTTAAAAGGGGAGGGTTGTGGCCAAAATCCAGATCACTGAAAACACCAAATGCTAGTGAAGATGTAAATTAGCAGGAATTTTCATCCATTGCTGGTATGAATACAAAATGGTGCAGCCACTTTGGAAGACATTTTGGTAGTTTCTTACAAAACCAAACATGCTCTTACCACACAATCCAACAATGGCACGTCTTGGTATTTACTCGAGTGAGTTGAAAATTTATGTCCTCACAAAAACCTGAGCATGGATATTTATATCAGCTTTATTCATAATTACCAAAACTTGAAAGTAACCAAAATGTCTTTCAGTAGGTGAATGGATAAATAACTGTGGTACATCTAGACAGTGGAGTATTATGTGGTGCTAAAAAATGAGCTATGAAGCCATGAAAAGACAGAGGACACTTAAATGCATATTACTAAGTGAAAGAAGCCAATCCAAAAAGGCTACCTGCCATATGAGTATAACATGACTTTCTGGAAGAGGCAAAAAAATGGAGACAATAAAAAGATCAGTGGTTGCCAGGGCTGGTGGAGAGGGATGATGAATATATGGAGCAGCGGATATTTAGGGCAGTGAAACCACTCTATATGACATGATAATGGTGGCTACATGTCCCTATTAACTTGTCCAACAGAATGTACTACACCAAGACTGAACCCTGATGTAAACGATGGACTTTGGGTGATAGGTCAATGTAGGTTTGTCAAGCTTTAACAAATGTGGTAACAAATGTACCACTTTGGGGGTATGTTGATAATAGAGAAGGCTATGCATGTGTGCGGGGAGGGAGTATATGAGAAATCCTCGTGCCTTCTGCTCAATTTTGCTGTGAACCTAAAACTGCTCTAAAAAATAAAGTCTATTTTTAAAAAGCGGGGGAGAGGGTAAGTTATCTCTGTACCATATGACAACCCATGCATTCCCATCAAGTCTCACTCTAGTAAAAGGAGGGTTATGATGAGGATACAATGCTGGTATCTTATAGGAATGGAAATTAAGGAAAGTCAGACCTCAGGAGAACCGAAAAGCCATCAGAACGATTAATAATAATGATAATAGTTACCATGTAGTGAGTTCTTAACCTGTGCCAGGCATTGTGCTAAGCAGTTCACCTGATAGCAATATTCCTACTTTACAGATAAGGAAATTGAGTCCTAGATAAGTTAAGTAATTGGCCCACTTTCATAATTAACAGAGTCTAGATTCAAACCCCAGCCTATCAGACCCCAGAGTTGAAGTGTTTGATTGTTTTGTTTTGTTTTTTTTTCCATTTCTTAGTATCCTGTGACTTTTTCTTTTCTCTGGCTTTCTCAGTTCAAGAGTTCTCTCTCCTTCCTCATCTATTTACATGTGACCCAAAATGGCTACCTCTTCCCCAGAGCTTTTAGAGAGACTCTTATCTCTAGGACTCCTAATTCACTTGAAAAAGTATGACCAGCCAATGAATTGGTGGGCTTTGAGACGGGTATCCTTCAAGGATCCAGTCCACTATGGCCGATTGGCTCTTGGATGGATACCTGTTGGCTCACCCCCAAGCTACAGGTAGTCCAGGCAATTTGCCTTGTGTGTCCATCATACCAGGACATCACTTACTATCCTTGAAACCAGAACCCTGGAATGCACGTTGTAAACCTGGTCCTTTCCTCACATATAGAATCAAGCTAATAATGGTACACCCCCATGGATTTAAAGGAGGTAATCTAAGCCAACTGTAGAGAACAGCGCATAACAGACAGTAGTTGCTATGAATGGCATTATTATTCAAGCCCTTCTACACATACTCCTGTTCTGGTCTTCAGGTATGCTATGCCCTTGACTTGCAGCTTTGTTTGCCTGACCCATCCCTTTCAAGAACAATTGTGTCAACAATTGCCAAACTTAAATGTCCCCGGAAACAAATCTTTTTCTAGTGCAGGTTTGATAACACCCTTAAACAACAGTTAAAAAAAAAAAATCAACTGAGTAAATTTGAAGATCTAATTGGCTTTATTAAATGATTGAATCCAGCAGCATCCATCCCTTCTAGTAATTAGAAAGGCCCTCTGAGGAGCTGTACAGAATGGAAGGTTTTCACAGGCAGAAAGAGGGCGGGGCGAGGAAGGTATTAGGAAAAGAAAAGAAAAGAGTGCTTCAGGCCAGTTCATCTTGTGGGAGGAAGGGAATGGCGTGGGTCTTCTTTTACAGATTACCAAACAAGCGCAGATCAGGAAATTTCAGATAGACTGTTTAAAGATTATATTTCTGGGAAAAGGCTTGGTTTGCTGTAACGGGGCAAATAACCCCATTTTGGGCCCATTGTTTCTTTTCCCACACAACAAAGGTAGGTGATTCCCAGTCTGAAAATGTCCAGGGCTATTATTCTAAAATGACCCAAATCAATGCTAGCCTTTTTCTTTGGGAAGGTAGTTATAAAACCAGGACCTTTTTTTTTTTTTTTTTTTTAAGTAGGCTCCATGCCTAGCATGGAGCCCAACACAGGGCCCAAACTCATGACCTTGAGTTCAACACCTGAGCTGAGATCAGGAATCAGATGCTCCACTGACTGAGCCACTCAGGCGCCCCACAAAGTGAGGTCTTAAAGGAAGAAAGCTGAGTTCACAGAAGTGATAGGCAGAAATGCCCTGCAGCAAACTCTGCCCCTGAAGTCACGTTTTGCTCCACTGGTCCATTTAACAAGGAAACGATTAATTAATGACCGTGAATAACAGAGGAAAATGTTGATCAGACTGAGCTGATCCAGACAACCAAAGTGACTTACGCATTTGCATGATATCCCTCACAATGCCCCCACAGCAATCCTGGGAATTTAAATATTTCCAGATGATTGCTATGAATCTTAGCATAGTTCTTCTAGAATCAACTCAAGCAGTGCTTCATACAAAATAAGCATTCAGACTCTTGTTGACTTGGTAAAGAGTAAATAAGGAGCAAAGAGAAGCAGTGCTGCCATGAAGTCTCATCCAAACAAACCAGATAATGGATTTCCCAGCCCATATATCATAACAATTACCAAGTTACATTTATGTTATTGCAGATTCCCCCTTTCATAGTCCCAACTATCGCCTTGCAAGCAAAGTCTGTTATTATTCAGTTTTACAGAAGACAGAATTGAGGCCCAGCAGCTTGCTACTACTTGCCACTGCTAGTAAGAATATAGGATGGAACCCCAGTCCCCTGACTCACGTGTCAATTCCCTGCCCCATGATGGCTCTGTGGTGTGCCCTGGTGAAAGCTGTGGAAGGAAACTTCCAGATGGTGAAGTCAACTAACTGGTTAAGAAATAGTCAGCGTCTCTTAAAGTGTGCTCCTTAAATCCCTAATGTGCCGTGACACTTCGAGAATAAGCTTGGGAATTACTGCTCTCCAGAGATCTACCTTGATGTATATACCACATCTGAGACTCTGAGCAAGCAAACCTACCACATAGAAACATGTACAACATATTAACCCTGTATTCCTCAAACTTCTTTGATCATAAAATTCTTTGTGTGTGTGTGTGTGTGTGTGTGTGTGTGTGTGTTAATATCTCACAGAGGAATATTCTTTGGAAAATATTTTAGATTATGTTAAAAACAATTATTGGGGGACATCAGTAAATTAACTAAAAATTATGCCTCATTCCATTTTGCCTAATCCCTAGTTTCTTAGGCCCTAACTAATTTCTAGAAGCAATACTAATTGTAAGGAACATTTCTGGACATGCAACATGCTATTAGGAAGTGTATAAGGAGGATGAAACTTTCAAAAATTGAAGTAGGCTTTAGGAGGGAGATTAATATAAAAATAGAGTTTCCATCTCCAACTTCCTGGTGGTCTACAGAAAGTCCAGGAGTTTCTTCATTTTTCTTCTCTACCTGCATAACTTTCACGTATCTACAGCTATGTCAGTGGTGTGGGGAATAAGATAGTTCTCCTTCTCCTCCTCATCTTGTGGCTTTCCCCACAAAGAGAACTTTCTCTAATTTGAAGGGAGAAAACTGTGGCTCCTCAGAGAACAGCATGGTATATGTAAAGTAGAAAGGTCACCCTGTGGTTGCCACGAACAATGATTGGTAGCATGAAGGAAAAAGGGACTATAACTTGCATGCCTTTCGGAAACCTTTATCGAGAGTCAATTAACCAACCAACTGAAATCCACTGCACAAACAGAGTGAGCCCTTCCATTATCAAACTACTTTCCAGGACCTTCTTGTCAGTGGCTGCATGTTTTGTTTGGAGGGGAGGCAGATTACGCTCAGAGACCGGATTTGTCTTTCCAGCCATTGGTTTAACAAAGGCTCACTGCGGACATTTTGTAAGCTAACAGTATACAGGATAATGTCTTTTAATAAGCCAAGAAAGAAATAACCCTCCAAACCAAAGACAGATTAATCACACTATTGTTTCAGGCAAGGAGTGATGAAAGGAATAAAGTCCAAATTTGGTTGAGGTGTGCCTCAACCCAGAGCTGACGTCCAGCTGCCAATGCAAAGGGAAAAGTGCGCTGTTGCTAGAGCATGTCGCTGCGGAATGACGGAGCCGGTGTCCATGGGCAAGGTGATTTTTGTGGGGCCACTTCATGGCTTTTGCCTCTGTTGGTAAGAGTCACCTTTACTGCTGCAGGAGGTAATTGCCCCAAGGTCTTCACAGAGCTATTTAGATCAACGAAATGTAGTCTTGCCCGGACAGGACATTCTCTGACGGTCCTCACAAACCCTTGATATTTATAGTATAAATGTCCCCTTGCTTTTTCATCTGTTTTTACTGAGAAGCCCACCGTGGGGCCCTCGGCAGCTGAGCTACTACTGAGCTCTTATCAGCTAGAACAGATGAAACTGTGCTCACTTCGGCAGCACATACTCTAAAGACTGGAACGACGCAGAGAAGATCAGCGTGGTCCCTGCACAAGGATGACACGCAAATCCGTGAAGCGTTCCACAGAGCAGATGCAATGATGACAGCCTCTCACAACTTACTTCATCCTTACATCAAAACAACTTAACTTCTAAACACAACATTTTTGTTCGCCTTTGTCAAAAACAAATGAGTTAAAACAGCCTCTGAAGTCATAGCAAGTAGATTTGAAATCTCATCAAACCAGTACACAGTACACAGGCTCCCCAGTTAACTACTAAAGCAACTTCCCTTGAGAGGATTAATTTTGACTCTTCTTGGCCCACCCCCCACCCCACCTTTATATCCAGATTAAGTCGCTGAACCAAATTGCCACATTATGGCACATATTTCCCTCCCCACCTGGGGGAAACACAGGAGCCTCCTCGCCTGTGGCCATTTCCTGAGGCAGCAGTGTTTAAGATATTTTCTCATCCTTGGCTTTCCCCTGGGCCTGGCGTGGGTTTACCCAACTGGCTGCTTTCTGCGACATTGAGGTTTCCTTCTTATGTGATCCAAAATGGCCTCCCAGAGACTTTCCTCCTACTCGGGTTCTCATGTCTAAGGTTTCTTCTTCACCCTCAGGACACGTCTCTCAGGAAACAGCCTCAAGGCTTAGGACGACATGCCCCAGAGGTCAGCCCCTCCTCCAGCCCGCAGCCTGTGGGCATCACTTCCTTAGTGGCCTCAGGCCTCTCTCCACAAACAGGGTTTCTCAAGAGTGGCAATGGGTTAGCACCTTCCCAAGCGCTAGCTGGGAGACGGATGGGGGAATCCATGGCCACCACATCCACCTGCCCCACCCCCGCTATCTCCCAGCACCGCTGAAGCAGAGCTTTCCCAGTGAGATTGTGTGCTTCCTCATAGCTCCCCTCTGGGAACTTGGGCCCTGGAGCGGAGACCAACCTGCTCCTCATCATTCGGTCAGAATGTATGGCCAACACTGAGCACTCTGGAATCACCTTCCTGGGAAGGCCAGTGTGCTACTGTTCTTTTCTCTCTCTCCTGCTCAAAGCAAGAGCAAAATTAACTCTCTAGGCATTCCAGAGCGAAGCATTCTTTCTTGAGGATTTTAACCACAGAAAATGGGCAGAAAAAAGCATGCCTCCTCAAATGATTCCCCTTCTTAGCTGCTTGTAATGTCCTTTGTGCCATTTACATCACTCTACCTCGGTGAGAAGTGATACTTTTCTTAAAGGTTAAGAACAACACCTTTAAATAATAAAGTTATTTAAATAATAAAAGCAAACACGTGTGAAATACACACAAGTGCTTTATAAATGTTAATGTTTACATTGTATAAATATAATCCATTTTAATAAACTCACAGAACAATGCTATGAGATAGTTACTATTATATCCCTTTTACAGATTGGAAAACCGAGGAAGAGAAAGGTAAATCCCCTGTACAGCCAGTACAGTGAATGGGAGAGCTAGTGTTACTTTTTCCCTCCATTGCGGTGGGGGCAGGGGGGGGTGTTGGTGGGGCTCAACTCCAGATACAACAAGGACATGTGGGGATTTAGGGCCAAGGAACAGAGGGAGGGGTCAGTGGATGGAACATTACTAAGAGGAGACATCAAGGCTAGGGGGATTCTTGCTAAACTGGCTGATAGGCCCAAGGCAGGCTGAGGACCGAGGGGGAGGCCTAGTTGAGACGAACCTGACTAAAGTTTGGTCAAGGAGACAGTCTTGTCAATACATGTACACACACACACACACACACACACACACACCAGGTCTGCCCTCTGGCAGTCCTGCTAGTGTTATTCTTCCTCTAAAACTTGGGGGCGAGTTAGTAATCAGAAAACTTGAGTTCTAGGGCACCTGGGTGGCTCAGTTGGTTAAGCGACTGCCTTCGGCTCAGGTCATGATCCTGGAGTCCCGGGATCGAGTCCCGCATCGGGCTCCCTGCTCAGCGGGAAGCCTGCTTCTCCCTCTGACCCTCTTCCCTCTCGTGCTCTCTATCTCTCATTCTCTCTCTCTCTCAAATAAATAAATAAAATCTTAAAAAAAAAAGAAAACTTGAGTTCTAAACATTGCCTCCCTTTGCTTTCCTTCCGTTCCTTGAACCCTCAGGATAAGTAAGGCTACATCAAGCAAGCATTCTCCTCTTCACAGGACACCTGGAGAATGCACTTACTGGGTGGTGGAGAAAGGCAAGAGAGCAGTCCTGTGGGGTCCCCGCCATTGGCACAAGGTCTGGCCAGGCCCCGTCAGGTAGAGTGCTCCAGCAGCGGCAGGGGGCAGGAAGGTGGAGCAAGCCTGTTGCCCTGCACAGGTTTTGAGGAGAACCTAATGCTCATTTGAACTGGCTTCTCAGCTACGTTACAATGTTCCCAGAGGGGACAGCAGTGCTGTGAAGTATTTCCTGTCATGATCTCAGACAAAGGACGTCTAGCCCCCCTGCAGATTGAAGCACGCCCGTCAGGTCAGGAGAAAAATGTGAAAAAAAAACTTTGAAACGGGCAAGATGATCATGTCTCCTTTCAGTGGAATGCTACATATTGTCTGAAGGACCCTTCCAGGGTGGTCAGATTCATGAGAGGTCTGTGCCTTTCTTGGTCTTCAATGATTGCGCAGCTCTACTTTTTCACTTGTGGAGACCTGAAATTTGATGCAAATGATTTCTGTCCATGAAAAAGCAAACGAATTTGGTCCCGTGAAATTACAATGGATTTCCACCCTGTGGTACAGGTTGTCTTTGCTTCCAGGAGCAAGTGAAAATCAACATTTCTGGTTGCCCATATAAATGACCATCTTTGGCTTTGCCTTTGAAGTAGTTGTACTATCTTCCTAGTTCTCTCAGTATCAGTGAATTAAATAAAATCTTTGACATGTGTTCATTCTACATTTGTATGGGAGTGTCACGCTTGTACTTTTCAAACAATTACTCTCTAACAGGAGACAGTCCACAATTTGATAGCTAACAGTAAAATCCTTTCTCACTCTTCCGTTCTCAGCCGTGACCCTAAAATTAGACGAGATGCCAGATCACGCTGCTTCTCCAAAGGACTCAGCTTTAGAAGTAAGTAAATGAAGACTTAAAAGGTTCCTCGCAAGGGGGACTAGGACCTCATCAGCCATGTTTAATTCACGGGTAAAGACTGCCTGGCTCACTGGGGTTGCACGGGGGCTGGCAGGAAAATACCGACCAGCAGCACCTGGCCGAAGAAAGGGTGGGAAGGGTGTGTCTGCAAGAATACTGCATGTACGCTGGCCCTACACTAGGAGAGCTTGGGCAAGATCTTTTAAAGAGAGGGGTGCACAAAGCAGAAGTGCCGAGAGCAGGAGAGAGTTCTAACTTACATCATTTAAGTGATTTGAGAATTGGGGATTCTTTAGCTGATGGAGTCTCACTTGTGTATTTTTGCTCTTGTGGCTTGTGCTTCTGGTATCATACCCAAGAAACCGGTGCCATAAGCAGCGGGATAGCATTCAGCCTTAGAAGGAAATCTGGCCATATGCAACAATTCTGATGAACCTGGAGGACTCTATGCAAAGCAAAGTAAGCCAATTATTTGGAAGGACAAATACTTCATGATTCCACTTAAATGAAGTCTTTAAAATAGTCAAACTCATAGAAACTTAGAGTAAAATGCTGGTTGCCAGGGGCTGGGGGGAGGGAAAATAGGGGCTTGCCACTCAATAGGTATAAAGTTTCAGTTACACAAAATGGATAAGTTCTGGAGATGGGCTGTACAGCATTGTCTATAAATAACAATCTCATACTGTAGATTTTAAAAATTTTGTTTTGTTAAGAGGGTAGATCTTGTTGGGGAGCAAGAATGTCCTGCCACCTTCAAGGTCCTTCTAGCTGGAGTAAGAGTTAAATTAACATGAGACAGATTCACAAGAGAAAATCAAATTTAATAGTGTACGTGTGGGGGATCCACATAGACATGGAAATTCCAAAGACAGTGAAGCAAAATAAGGCACATGTGTCATCCTGAACTAAGGAGAAGTGGGGGGGGGGGTCTGGGGCATCGGTGGAGGGGACTGCAGTTCACAGGGCAATGAGAAGAGCAGATGTTTGGTAATTAGGTGTTGTCTGGCCATACAGGTGGGTCACTCAGAGAAAACTGATCTGTGGTAATAATCATGATTCTGTGAAAGACCTCCAGTTTAGATGTTTTTATGCAGTTAAGGGAGGGCCCAAATTTCTCTTGAGCTGCAGGGTCTTGATTGCCTTCAGCTCAGAATAACCTACATGCCACAGTGACCATTTTGGGGTGGCCTGCCCTTGGCCCTTACAATGTCATGTTACCACAATAAAGAAAGGTGGAAGGAAGGAAGGGAGGGAGGGAGGGAGGGGGGGGGGGGGAGGGGGAGAGGGAGGGAGGGAGGAAGGAAGGAAGAAAACAGATATGAAACCTAAAGAAGAAAAGAATTGGGGGCTCTTTAAAATTCCAACTTTTCTCTGCGATGTTATTAACTCAACCAGAACATGGCTGTAATGATTGGGGGTAGGCACTGACATTACCTGGGCAGCTACTCCATTCCTTGCCCCCGAATTTTGAGCTCTTTAGTTGTACTTTTACCTGAGAAAAAAGGGTCAGAAGCAGTGAGCTGTGAGTGGTCCACCATTGCCCAACCTCCACGCCTCATTGCCCCCTGGCCTCTACTCCACCCCACAGACAAAACCAGACCAGAAACACCACCACCACTACCACAAGGAGCCTCGTGTCATTAAACAATGAACAGAAACGAGCCCAAAGAATCAGCTGGATTCCTATCATGGTCCAAAGACTTACCTGCATTAGAATGACCTGGAAAGCTTGTTAGAAATGCAGATTCCCATTCTCCACTCCTAAACGTGCTGAATCCATTGATGATTTGTAAGTACTTGAAAGTTTATTTCAAACATCAAACATCAAAAAGAGGGGAGCGTGTTGCTTATTTTCTCTGTGGGCCTTAAAAACCAGCCAGAGCAGAATCAGAACTGAGCTCCAGCTAACCCACCATACAGGCTTTCCCAACCATGCCCTGCTGCCTCTCAGGCACAGTTAAGGTGGAGAAATGAAACTAGCTTGATAAAAGTGTTTTGCTGTTCACCACCTGTTTATCATTTTCAAACCATCTGTTCCTTCCTGTGAACTATTTTGGCTATTAAGGCACTAGGGAGTGGTGATTAGAGCTGGATTCTGGACCTAGAATACCAAGCTTTTTTTTTATTTATTTAAATTCAATTAGCTGACATAGAGCACATCATTAGTTTTTGGTGTAGTATTCAATGATTCATTAGTTGCATATCACACCCAGTGCTCATCATACCACGTGCCCTTCTTAATGTCCATCACCCAGTTACTCCATCCCTCCACCCCCCTCCCTTTCCACAACCCTCAGTTTGTTTCCCGGAGGCCGGATTCTCTCATGGTTTGTCTCCCTCTCGGCTTTCTCCCCCATTCAGTTTTCCCTCCCTTCCCTTATCACCCTCTGTGCTACTGCTTATGTTCCACATATGAGTGAAACCATATAATAACTGTCTTTCTCCAATTGACTTATTTCACTTGGCCTAATACCCTCCAGTTCCATCCATGTCAATGTAATGGTAGGTTAGAATACCAAGATTTAAATTTTGACTTTGCCATGGGGCACCTGGGTTGTGCGGTTGGTTAAGCATCTGACCGTTGGTTCTGGCTCAGGTCCTGATCTCCTGGTTGTGAGATCAAACCCCACAGCAAGCTCTGCACACAGCATGGAGTCTGCTTGAGATTTTCTCTCCCTCTCCCTGCCCCTCCCACCTGTGTGCGCACTCTCTCTCTCTAATAAATAAATGAATCTTTTAAAAAAATAAATTCTGACTTTGCCACTTCTGAGCTTTGAAACCCTGGGGAAGTCACTTAACTTCTCTGTGCCTTAGTTTTCTCATGTATAATTACAGTATCTCTTCTATTGTTGTTGTGAGAGGTATACTAATTAATACAAGTTGTGACAGTTTAAGTAACGCAGGTTGTGTGAATTCAAGTAAGAATGCATGCAAAGAGCCTAAAGAAAGCCTGGTATATAATAAGTGCTCAGTGAGTAATAACTGTCCCTCTTATGATTATTGGCTTCTCTCCTACAATTATTTCTTAAGGTAAGAGGAGGGTTGAACAATTAATTTGGCTATCATGGTGAATACTGAGAGGCAATGATCCTGCTACATTCTGAGCCCACTGGCTTAAACTCCTTCATTTGACCACATGAGTCAAGGTCACTGACCTTGAAGTTCTGCCCAGGTGCAGGTTCAGTGAGGACTGAGCTTGGCTGGCACAGACTGTGTGAGGTAGGGACATAAAGGGGCATCCAATCATGCCTCTGTGACTGTGAGCTATGTCCTTGTTGGTGACTTTTCCCTTGGTTGGCTTTCAGTAGGATTAAAGGTGTGCTTTCTTATCCCATCTCCTGACAAAAGTCAGACAGCGTCTATTAAGACAGGGCAGGGCTCCTTGGGTAAGAACAGTTTGAGACATTCCCCTCCCACCGGGATTGGACCTTGTTCTTACATACCTCACCCCAAGCTCTCCTCCTAGATCCTGGGGAAGAGGACTTTCTTAGGGTGGAGACGAATGTCGGCGATCAGTTCTGCGCAACTGCTGCAGAGAAGGAAACGAGCCTCTTCTTAGGCACTTACAGCGTGAATCTTGTTCTTTAAAAAAAAAAAAAAAAAGGATGACATCGAGAAGTGGCAACTACCAAACCAAAGTCTGTCGTTGAGATGAAGAGCAGGCATGACTTATGACAGAGCTGAGTGTGTTGCAGTATGCCCTAGAAATGAGAATCACTGTAGATCATTGTTCTTCTTGCTTTCAGGAGAACTCAGGAGACTCAGCACGCACCCTGGGTTGGAAAGTCATGAAAACTGCAGCAGCGTGGCGTGCTACCGCGTTCAGTGTCACAGAACCCCTGGACCACCCGGGGGCAACACAGATTGGTAAGCATCACGAGTCTCCCGACGTGCTGCCTGCTCCGTGAACAACCAGCATTTGTTCCCCGGATGCGCCGGGCACTGGAGGCCCACAGGTCACCTATGAGCACCGCTCTGCCTGGCCACCAGCTGTCTGCCTGACTGGGAGCGAATACTGCAATTCTCTCTGAAGTTCCATTTCTTCATCCGGGACACGGGGAGCCAAATACTTAAGTATATTGGTTAGGATGCTTTCTTTGGGCATCAGTTACCCAAGAAGCATGACCTGAATGCTTTGATAACCAGGGGAAGGGCCAGCTCATGGAACAGCAAGTGCGCAGGTATGCCAGGAGCCGGGTCCTGGCCTCCTCCCTCTGCGCTGGCTTCCGTTACAGCTCTAGAAATTCCAGGCAAACATCCAGACACCACAAGGTCCAGAGTAAGGAAGAGGGATGTCTCTTTCTACGTACCTCTCTTGTCATCAACGAGGAAAACTTCGCCCACCTCCCACCCCGCCCAGCCAAGCTTTACTGGGGCCTCTCGGGCTTAGACAGGGTCACATGACTACCTCTGAACCAATCACTGGTGATGGATGCCATGACTGGTTTCTTCACCCCGCGGCTGAGGGCCGACTCACCTTCCCCAAGGACAGGGTGGTAGGAAGACAAACCTAAACAATAGCAGGACTTTGCAGACAAGGAGGAAGCCGGAGCCGGCTGGGGTGTAGACAACCGACAGTGTTTGCTACAATGCCCTATCAAATTCTTACGATGAACAGATGAGATCGTGGATGAAAATGACCCACTCAGTGCCTGGAAAGTGGGAATAATAAAATAGCAGCTGACATTTTTGAGGACTTACAATGTGCCAGGCACTTTACATGCATTCTCTGTCCCCTGAGGTAGGCACCACTAGTATGCCCATTTTACAGATGAGGAGACTGGAACACAGGTGAGTGAAGTAACTTGACCCAGGCAGAGTGTACATCTAAATTCAGGCAGTCCGACTTCAAAGTCCTACTCTCACGCCTTCATTCTCTAAGATTTCCTGCACTGGAATGGTCGTCAGATTCATCACCCCATCTCTTCCCTAAGCTCAAGAACTGTGTAACTTTTGAGTTCAATGGGATTCACACCCATGAAAAATTTAAAAACAATACAGTACAGCAGCTGATAACAATCTTGGTGATATAATAGAGGAAAAAAGTAACCAACCAATGTGCTGAGCATAGGGAAGACAGTAGAGGGTGATGCCATCAGTGAGGAAAGCAACAGGGCCTTGGAGGAAATGAAGAAGGGGATGCAGTGGAGAGCATGCCAGACAGGGGTAGCAGCTTGTAGTTCTCAGGAGTAAAAAGCTGCTCTTGGGGCGCCTGGGCGGCTCAGTCGGTTAAGCTTCTGCCTTTGGCTCAGGTCATGATCCCAGGGTCCTGGGATGGAGCCCTGCGTTGGGCTCTCTGCTCGGCCAGGAGCCTGCTTCTCCCTCTCCCTCTCTCTCTCTATCAAATAAATAAATAAAACCTTAAAAAAAAAAGCTACTTGTATGTGACTTGGGCGAAGGGAAGTGGCTTTGGAATCGACTCAAAGGAGTGGGGAAGCAGAGTAGGACTCCAGCCGCATTCGACTTTAGGAGAAACTTTGAAGGCTGTTTTACTCATGAAACTTTGGGCTCATGAACTGCATTACAGTGGACCTCCTGAGTCATACAGCTATCGTGCAAGGGAAACCAAATCCCATCAGTAAACTCAAGAGTTTTCCTAGTGTTCTCACAACTCATGCCTGTGAGCTCCAATACAAAGCATTGTAAACTTCCAAGACAAGTTTGGCATTGATGGAGAAGGCCTGGAATGCCCCCTATCCCCACCCCTCCCATCATGGCAAGATCTCCTGTAGATGTGAGCTGGATGAAAACAGGTGCTCAAAGGGCGCCTGGGTGGCTCAGTTGGTTAAGCATCTGCCTTTGGCTCAGGTCATGATTCCAGGCCCTTGGATTGAGTCCTGCATTGGGCTCCTTGCTCAGCGGGGAGCCTGCTTCTCCCTCTGCCTGCTGCTCCCCCTGCTTGTGCGCTCTCTCTCTCTCTCTGACAAGTAAATAAATAAAATCTTAAAAAGAAAGAAAGAAAGAAAACCGTGCTCAAGTTCAAACTCAAGGTAATTTTGCACATATCCTCATCTCCCCAAGGATTACATCCCATGCCTGCCGTTTGGGGGCCCAAGTATTCTGAATGACTGGAGATTTGGACCCAAGCCTTACATCTTATGAAGAGTACCTTGAATTTCCCATTCAGAGAGGGCACTACAGTGTCAAACACTAGATGGTATTTCCCAGAGGAACCTAATTTGAGGCAGAGGATTTCTCTTTATGTGTTACACCTTTCCCTGTAGCACCAACTTTCACACCAAGAAAGCATCTCCAAGGACATGTTCTGGGCAGGGTTTCAGGTTATATTCTGTTCTCAAGTTGATGTGTTTGAATCAAATCGCTATGTCTAGATCCTATTTAGAGTTTTGTCTATTATCAGGTCTTGTTTATCATCTTTCACTTAATGTGCTCTTAAAATTACTCCCCAAATTCCTCTGCAATCTGATACTTAGGCAACAGGTACCTCTCTAGGTTAGCAAAATAGATCCAAGTTGGAGAAGGATGGTCTTTGGTGTCAGAGATGGAGTTCAAATTTGCAGCATTATTGCTCACCACTGGGTGCCTCTGGGGCCAGGACTGAAGTTGTGAAGCAAAGCCTCCCCCCCACCCTCCCTTACCCCCACCCGTGCAATATGGCATAATGCTCCCTCCTGGCAGGGTGGATAAAGTTAAGGGAGGCATCGTTCATTGTTTGGCACATAATTGGTGTTTTAAATGTTAGTTTCTTGCCCCCTTCTGTCCTTTTCCCTTTATGGGGAGGGAGGGACGTTCAAATGCAGTAAAAGCAGAAGAGAACTTGGGTAGTTTGCAGGATGCTTGATTTTGCTACTGAGTTGCTGTGTGCCTTGGGACAAAACCTTCACCTTCTCTAGTTCCGTGTCTCTCATCCACAAGAAAAGGAGGTTGGATTTGATATTCCCAAAGTCACCTGTATATTTAGAATTATATTTTTATTCTGTGCTGTCTACATTCCC